CCCCATTCTCCTCTCAGGATTTGGGGCACACACACACACGGTCCCAGTGTGATTTTCAAGTGGCCAGGTCCAGGACTCAAACTGAGGTTAGCCATGTGGGGGGCCAATACCCTAACCACCATCCCACCTGCGGGCCCTCACTTATCATTTTTAAAGTGATTTATAAAAAAAAAAATGGATGCACCAACCCATGGCCTGGTGCTTACGGGTTTATTTACTTATTTTTTAAGAATTATTTTATTTAACTTTATTTATTATTATTATTTTCCAGTTTGATCAGAGAGAGACAGAAAGGGAAAGCGAGAAAGCAAGCCGCCAGGTCCAGGACTTGAACTGCGGTTGGGCATGTGGGAGTCCAGTGCCCCCAACCACCATGCCACCTGCTGGTCCCTTTGTCTTATTTTTAAAAAGAATTATTTAGGGACCAGCAATTAGCATAATGGCTATGTCGCTGGACGCCCACGTAGTCGACCGCGGTCTGAGTCCAGGACCTGGTGGCTTAAACTCACACCAGGCACGTGTGCACGCGTGCCCAAGATCCCAACAGGATAATGGAGAAGGGATTGCAGTGTGGCCATCCCCCCCGGGGGGGTGATTTCTCCCTTTTTGTCTCTCTGTCTCTTTCTGTCTGTCTGGCGAGTGCACACGTCCTGTAACAAAACCTCTTAAAAAAAAACAAAAAACAAAAACAAAAAAACCACCGAGCACACATGTGTGCATGCCCAAAATACAAACAGGATGGAGAATCGGAGGAAAAGGGATTGCAGCATGACCGTATCCCATGGAAAAGGTTCTTTTTCTCCTTCTTCCCCTCTCTCTCAAGGGCACACATGCCCCTGAGCAAATTTAAAAAAAATAAACAAAAGTTATAGGGGTTGGGACCAACACTTGGCATAATGGCTATGTCACTGAACTCCCATGTAGTCGACTGTGGTTCAAGTCCCGAACCCGGTGGCTTAAACTCATGCCGGGCGTGTGTGTGCCCAAGATCCCGAGAGGAAAATGGAGAAGAGATGATTGCGGTGTGGCCATCCCCCCTGGGGGTGATTTCTTGCTTTCTGTCTTTCTGGTGAGTGCATGTGCATGTGCCCTATAGCAAAAACCTCACACACACATACAAAAAGTTATGAGGGCTAGCTCCCTCACACATGGGTCATGTTTAGGATCCCACGTGGCAACGACAGTACACGTCCCTGGCCTAGCTGGCCTGGAGACGTGAGAAAAGCATGTGAGTGCCCAGGATCCAATGGGCTAGAAGACAGAAAGAAGTGGATCCCGGCATGACCAGATCCTGTGGAAGGTTCTCCTCTCTCCCTGCCTCATTTGCCCGTGGATTCGGTCTACCTTGAATAAAGAAACAAAGTTTAGCGAGGAAGTAATTTGCTTAAACTCTCATCCCACCGGAGGCGGCCCTTCCTGCGCCCTAAATCTTGGACTATACCCACCCTCAGGGCAGGATGGAAGGATGCTGTTGAGGCCACCAAGCAAGACGTGTCTCAACCCCACCTGAGCAGAAAAACCAAACACGCAGGCTGAGATCTGCCCTCGTGGACATGGGATCACGTGAACCCTCTTCCAGGCAGGGTTATGGCTGGAGAGAGGAAAACAGGGTTGGGGGTACAGGAGGCCCCTGCTGTCCACACACCCCTCTGAGGTCATTCCCCACTTTCTGAGACTTGAGCCTTCGAGTGAAAAAAGGTGAACTGAAAACCACATGCGATAAACAAAAAGGAGTAGCCGACAGACTCTTCAAATCGCAGAAATGTTCAATAAACATTCGCAGAGCAGGAAAATAAATAACATTGCCGAGAAGACAAGAGGCTCCTCTTTTGTCCTCATCGTGTTGCGTGGGCCGGGGCTGCATGGTCTCTGTACAAGTCACACGTGTTGCAAGCAGGTGAGCCCAGCTCTGGGCACCCTCGCTGCCTGCCGCACCCCATGTGGCCCCCCCCCAGCATCTGTGCACGTTCTCCTTCCCCCAGCAGCTCCCGATCTCCTGGCTGGACAGCTCCTGCCCTGGGAAAAGCCTTCCTAGCCTCAAGCTCTTCTCCATCCTGGCTCTTTTCCCAGACCAGCCACCCAGGGCCCTGGTTCCTCTGCTCGAGGGCACCGCTTCTCTGGTCGGCCAGAGCCCCCCTCATCAGCCTTGGCATCGAGGACACCTGGGAACTTGGGCTCGTCTGCTGTGCTTGGCGGCCAACAGGAAAACCCAGGGCCCCCCCTCCCCCCGGGGCTCTGGGCGGAGGTGGCCCTGATCCCGGGCCCCGGCTGTCAGCCAGCGCCAGCCTGTCCAACTCGACAGAAAAACACACGCTGGCCTCCTGCCCCTGGGGTTGTTTCCAGAAGAGAAATTTAATCTAATTTACATACTTCTAGGTACATCAATAACCAAAATGGGGCCACTGAAAAAAGTGAAAAGGTCAATGAGCTCTCCCGGTCTCTACCCGGCCCAGGGCTGCAAAATAAAAAGATCCACGTTTCCTTAGTCTCTACACAAAACGCGTTTTTAAAAAAGTGAAAGGTCTAGGGAGCTATACATAGAAAGCGACAGTGAAAAGGGGGAGGGAGGCAGGCGTGGGGGGAGGAGAGTCCCACCCCACCCCCCAACCTCACCCTCCTGGGCCCCCGGAGCCCCCAAGGCTCTGGAGGGCCTTGACATGGCAGGAGGCAGCTGTCAGCTCTGAGTTCTTTCCAGCTGGGAAGGCCCCACTGAGGGGCGGCCAAGAAGGATATCCGTGGCATCGTGGGCTCAGTGGGGGGGCTCCCAGGCCGTGGCGGGCCCACAGAGGGCGCGCGGCTTCCCCTGAGCAAGCACCGTGGCGTGATGGGGTCATGTGACTCGGGAACTGGGGGGCTGGGGCAGATCCCGGGTCTCACGAGGGGTGTGTGTGTGTGTGTGTGTGTGTGTGTGTGTGTGTTTGCATGTACGTGCGTGTGAGTGGATATTCATGGGGGCAAGAAGGGACCAGAACAGGGGTCTTTGGGGTCTTTGCAAATGGCCACGGAGGGCAGACAGAGCCCTGCCTGGCTGCTAGACTCAGGGGAGTGCTGTCCTCCCGTGACCGGACCGGCTGCCACCAGAGAGCTGGCTGCCGCCCTGTGAGCCCAGGTGGGCGAGGGCTGAAGGAAGACACCCTGTGGCCCCAGAGTCCTCAGGCTGGGCGAAGGGCGGCGAGCTGGCTCCTGGCGCCCCAGCTGTAGTGTGCCCGGGCCCCAAGGGGCACCGGTTTGAGGTTTTGGCTTGCTCCTTTGGAAACGGAAAAGAAGGAGTGAGGAAAGGGAAGAGGACACAGAGGAGGAAGTGGAGGAGACGGAGGTGGCACAAGAGGGAATCTGGAATGCTTCTGTGTTAGGGCGCCTCTGCCACTGCTGTCTGTGCCTGTGGGGTCTGGGGCTCCTCAGGCGGGGGGTCCGCTTTGGAGAAATTCATTTCCAGGATGTGCCTCTGTAAGTGCCGCACCCACTCTTCCTGGATGGAGAGGGGGCCCTGGAATTCCACTTCACAGAACCTGCAGTTGGAGGAGGAAGCAGGAAAAGAGCGGCAGAGGCCGGAAAGAGCGGCCAAGGCCATGAGAAGAGGCAAAAACATAGCCTTGCCCACATCCCTGGCACACCTACTCAGTTGGATAGTGAGCACCCAGACTTTGAACGAAGGGGGCCCCAGAAGCCAGACATTGCCTCAGGCAAAACCACCTTGACCCATCACGGAGTGATGGCAGGGTCCCCTAGAGGCCCTGCCTCTATTCAGGGAAATCTCTGGTGTTAGATAAAAGCCATCTGGCTTTCCAAGAACCTGTGCCATCTGACTGAGATGGAATAGAGAAACACATCCTACCCGATTTGCCGGGCCCCACTCCTCCTCTGGCCCCTGTGACACCAAGCAAGACCTCTAACATGGGGGCCCAGAACCTGAGCACCACAGCTCCAAAGACTTGGGTTCAAATTCTATATCTGGGGACCAGCAATTGGTGTACTGGCTATGTTACTGGACTCCCATGTAGTCGACCGTGGTTCGAGTCCTGGACCCGGTGGCTTAAACTCAAGCCGGTCTCATGTATGTGCATGACCAAGGTCCCAAGAGGAGAATGGAGGAGAAGGGATTGTGGCGTGGCCATCCCCCTGGGGGGGGGTGATTTCTCCCTTTCTGTTTCTCTTCCCCTCTCTGTCTGTCTGGTGAGCACATGCACCCAATAGCAAAACCCTCTTAAAAAAAAAAAAAAAAATCTACATCTGATTTCTGCCTGTGTGGCCTAAGGCTAGTCACCTGGCACTTCGGAGTACCAGCTTCTTGGTCTCTGATCTACATGTGGACTTGATCTACATGAACTAAGACCTATTTTTTTCCTTTTTCTTTTTTAAAGAAATACTTTATTTAACTTTATTTATTCACCATTTATTAATCTATTTATTTATTTGTTTGTTTGTTGTAGTTGACCACATAAAGGCAGAGTGACAGAAAAAGTGAGAAAACAAGCTGCCAGGTCTGGGTTTCGAACCACAGTCAGCCATGCGGAAGAGTCCAGCGCCCTTAACTACCGTGCCACCTGCTGGCCCCATACTTTTTCTTAATGAGATAGATACTTGTTCCGTGTTTACTGTATGCCAGACACAGTTCCAAGTACTTTATAAAGCGCTTTTTAAACTCGGTACACCTAACGAATCGATTAAGGAGATCTGTCAACAATGCCATTTTTAGGGGTGGGAGAATGAGACATCGAGTAGGTAAGTCTTTGCTTCAAGTCTGTAAGTTGGTATCAGAGTCAAGATTTGAACCGAAATCTGTCTCGCTAGCTACCAAACTCAGGGTGTTAGCCCAATGCTCCGAGACACCACTGTCTATGAAGAGACCTTGGGACCAGCAGTTGGCGTAATGGCTATGTCTCTGGACTCCCACGTAGTCGACCACGGTTCGAGTCCCGGACCAGGGGGCTTAAACTCATGCCAGGTGTGTGTGCGCGTGCGCGCCCAAGATCCCGAGAGGAGGATGGAGAAGAAGGGATTGCGGCGTGGCCATCCCCCCTGAGGGGTGATTTCTCGCTTTCTGTCTCTCTGTCTCTGTCTGTCTGGCGAGCGCACCTGCCCTATAGCAAAAACCTCTCCAAAAAAAAAAAAAAAGAAAATGAAGAGACCTTATCCTGCGGCTTGCCACACCCAAGGACAGCCCTTGAAATGACACCTCCCAATCCCTACCAGACCCTGTCCTGTTCTGAGGATCCAGGTGGCCGTGGCCCAGCTGGGTGGGCTCCCTCTCCTGGGGGGCGGGGAGGGACATACCTGCACTTGAGGGTATAGATGTTGCCGACGAACTTGACGAGTGATGTCTGGGGGGGCCGGGGCACCAGGGAGGGGACTGGCCGGACCCGGGGTGGAGGTTGTCGCACCTCTTCCAGCTTTTGCTGCAGGTCATTGGCTTCCTCGCCCCCTCGGGCTGCAGAGGCATCCGGAGGGCGGGCTTGTCGGCGCTCAAATTCTAAGGTAGGAGGAGAAATGGGAAATGAGCAGGAGGATGAGGGGCCTGGTCAGACAGGACAGAGGGGGACTGGCCACAACATAGAAAGCTGGGATGGTAGGTAGATGACCAGATGCATGAACACTGGGGAGGAGGCCGAAGGGTGACTGCACAGCAGAAAGCTCAGTGCATAGCCGTCCCGGCCCTGGTGGTGCCCGGCGCCCTGAGGACCCCCTCCACCAGCACTCACTGTTGATATTCTGCCGCTGGTGCTCCTCGGCCTTCACAGTGCCTGGAGGGCTGATCGCCAGAGGCCGCTCACCACTGTCAGCTGCCCGGCCAGCCTCGAGCCCGGGCTCCCCACCGGCACTGCGGCCCACCACGGCCAGGCCCCCAGGTGCCAGCCCCAGGGGCAGCCGCTTGTCCCCGTCGCGACCGTGGCCGGCACTGCGGAACTTCTTGGTGAAGGGGCGGCCGCCCTGGATGTAGCTGCGGTAGGCGCCCACCTTCTGGGGCCGGTGCTTGATCCACTCGCTCAGCGTCTCGATGGGTGAGCCATTGACACACCACTCTGTCACGCCGAACTGCCGCAGGTGCGCCCGTGCGTGGCTGGCCAGAGCCTTGCGGTTTTCAAAGTAAAGGCCACACAGCTCGCAGCAGGCCTCGGTAGCTGCAGGCGGAGGGGGCGATGCTGAGCCATGGGCCGAAGGCAGCAGGTGTACCCAGACGGCCCGGCCCAGGTCGGGAGCCTTTCCCGCCTCCCATGGGGACCTCGCAGAGGGTACCCTGCTTGGGGTCAGCGTGTGTACTCGCTGCACAGCCTGGCCCTGCAGGCCCTGCTGACCGCCCTCCCGAGACCCTGCTGCCCGCTGCTTACAGGAGTGGGAGGTCTTCTCATGGAGGGCCTTTGCCTTGAAGGGCAGTTCAGTCTGGATGTAGGTCTTGGCCTTGACCTCTGCTGGAAGGAGGCGGTCCTCCTGCAGGGGTCGCTTGGCTGCCACTGAGCTCAGGTAGCCAGTGGAGGAGGGCTTAGCCCCGGTGATGGGCGTCAGGCTGAGCTCCCGGGAAATCTGGGCGGGCCCGGCTCCTGGTTTGCCAGGACGGCCAGCCAGGGGCGACAGCGGAGAATGCATGGGCCCTGGAGCCATTGTCGGGGGACCATCCTCAGTCAAGGCCGGGGCCAGGTCTCCAGCTGGAGGCTCCTTCTTGATGAGGCACGGCTTGGACTTCTTTTTGAGGATCTCCCGCAGTGTGTCGATTGGGGAGCCATTGACCGACCACTCGGTCACGCCCATCTGCCGCAGGTGGGAGCGCGCGTGGCTCGACAGGCCCTTGCGGTTCTCGAAGAACTCACCGCAGAACTCACAGCGGATGTCACGCACTGGCTCTGCCCGGGACGCTGCAGGGGGTCCGGGGTGAGGGGAGGAGGAGAAGGAGGGGACGGCTGCGGGCAGGAAGCCTCAAAGCTCAAGGCACCGAATGGTGCCAGAAGCCTGGCTGCCCCTGTCCACACGCCCTGCCAGACCCCAGTAACCTTCTCCCTCATAATGGGTGCCCAGGGGACCTCGTGTACAATTTCCTGCTTGTCCTGTTGCCTCAGATTCTAGCTGGCTTAATGATACCTCCTTGTGCAGGGCTAGACAAGCCACTTCCCTTCTCTGAGCCTCAGTTTCCTCCTCTGCAAAAGGGAGATGAAAACTCCCACCTCCCACTGTTACTGGGAGGGCCTAACACGGGGACGGCTGCGAGCACATGGCACAGAGCCAACAAGTGACACGGGTGAGCTCTAAGGCCGGGCCTAGACATCCTCTTCTGCTCAGTGCACGGTAGGGGTTCAATCGACCCAGGCAGAATGAACACGGCACCAGAGCAACAGGGAAGCGAGTGACAGTGACATTCAAATAACTGCACGGGAAGAGCTGTCTGCAACCGGGCGCCGTGCGGAGGGCTTCATCCCACTTAATCCTCCCGGAGAATGATACAGGGTTCAGACTATGCTGATTTCCATCTTTCAAAAGAGGAAACTGGCCTGAGGCCACATGCTGCTGGACTGGGGAGAAGCTGCACTCTTGACTCGATCCTAACTTCAAATGTCAAGCATGTATTGGGTCTTCAGGAAAGTCAAGACATTTTCTCGCATAGAAACACTTGTCATAACTTTCCCGATGACCTAATAATTAGCAGGAAGACACCATTCACGTAGCCCCTGCCTGTACCTCTCTGCCTGCCCGTGGCAGACATTACTAATCGATCCCCGTGATCTCTTGCCCTGAGAATCTAACTGGCAATCACTAACAAACTGACTGAAGCTGGCACAAGAGACAGACTCTTCCGGCCATCACGGAGCGACGCAATTCTGTTGCACTTGTACAAATAAGAGGCTCAAGGTGCAGCTCGGTTTTGGGAAGGGTCTGTCTGCGTGGCAGGAACGCACTGCTTGCCCTGTCTTCTGGACCTGCGTATCCTCCCTTCTGTTTTAACCCTGGGTGCTCTGGACACCCCCAAGGGGAGGCAGAGAGGAGACCTCTCCAACTGTGCTCCACACTTACACAGGTTCAGGGGCGTCATGTCTTCCCGCGGTGCCCCCCAGGGACCCTCGGATGGATGGGGCTCCCCATGAAGGGCCCCTGGCAGCATCTCCCGCTTGATCTCCACCCGCATTTGTTCAGGCTTCAGCTTCTTGGGCAGGGAGGGTGCAGCCAGGCCTGGGAACATCTTCCGGGCCGTGGGAGGAGGAGAGGCAGTCGGTGAGTGACCCAGGGGGCTTCCTGGTGGTGGCGGCAACTTCTTGGCCAAAGGCGAGATGTGAAGGTCCGAGGGGCTGGGGGGTTCCAGCGAGCTGCCAGGACCCCCGCTGCCCATCATCTTAGCCAGGGCTTTCGGGCTGGGCCCTGGTGGGTTGGGGTGTCCACCGGGCCGAGACTGGGTCCGTCTCTTCAGGATCTCCCGCAGCGTGTCGATGGGGGAGCCGTTGACATACCACTCGGTCACACCCATCTGCCGCAGGGGGCGGCGCGCGGGGCTCGCCAGCGCC